TAAAAAAATCTATTTACTTATTTATTTGGTACAGGGACTCAGTGTGCAGCTAGGACTTGTGATGATCCTTCTGTTTTCAGCCTCCCCAGAGCTGGGATTATTGATGTGTGCCATCACACCTGGTTTTGGTGACCAGCACCAGACCCAGGGTTCTGGGGCCTACACGGCATGTGGTATTGGGGATTGAACATGGGTCCTTGCACTTGCCAGGCAGGCATTTAGACAGCGGAGCTATCTCCCCAGCCTGAAAAATCCTCTTTATGTTACAATTCCTGCTGGATACCAGCCCATCTCTCTGGTCCATTTACATAGAAATGTGTGGAGAGGGCTGGAAGTAGAATGTGTACCTAGTGGGTACAAGGCCCTCAGTCCCATCCCTAGCACCACACATATACATGTGCCCATGCGCGTGTGAGCGTGCGCGTGCGCACACACACACACACACACACACACACACAGAAGTAGTATCTTGGCCAGTCTCAAATCCTGACCTTCCTGTTCTCTTTCCCTCCCTTCCTGTCTCTCCAATGCTAAGTATCAAGCTATGCTAGGGAAGCCTAACGTTTTTTGAGACAGGGTCTCATTTTGTAGTTCAGACTGACCTTGAATTCACTGAGTGGCCCAGGGTGGCCTCACACTTTTGGTGATCCTCCTGCTTCAGCCTCCCAAGTGCTGGGATTACAGGTATGCACCACCAACCATCACGCTCAGCTCGCAAGCCTAACGTGTGTGTGTGTGTGTGTGTGTGTGTGTGTGTGTTATTGGGGATTGAACTCAGGACCTTGTGCTTGCCAGGCAGGAACTTATTCCACTGAGTTATCTCCTGGGCACAAGCCTAGCATTTTAATTGAACACCTGATCCCATTCTAATCAGGCCTTGATTCTCCCTTCACACCAGACTCACTCTCATCAAGGTCTCTAAGGCCACACTGCCAATGCTGAGCCTCGCTCTCATCTCACCCAATCCATGAGGAACATGGCTGATGTGGTCTGTGTCTAGTTGTCCCCCCAAAGCCTCATGCAGTCATGGGGTGGAGACTGCTAGAGTTTGTGATTAACTCATGATCCACTGGGATTATGGGTGATCCAAGGCCAGGATTATGGGTCTTGGTACTCCTGGGATTATGGGTGTGTGTACTTCCCCCAGCCAGGGGCAGAGAGCCTGAATGCAATATAAGAGAGACAGAAGGACAGACTCTCTCTCTGTTGCCATTGTTGTTGCTACTCCTGCATTTGCTCTCTGCTGTTTGCCGCTGCCGTCGAAGGCTGCTCTCTGCCATGTGCCGCTCTGCCTTGGAGCCAGCCAAGTATGGACTGAAACCTCCAGTAACTGTGAGCTAAATAAACTTTTCCTTCCTTCATTTTGGGTGTTGGGTATTTGTCCCAGCAATGAGAGAAGAGTAACAATGGCACACTTTAGCATTTGTTATGGAAGGTCTAAGATGTTCCCTCACAGTCTCTGAGTTCATAGGTTCAGCTCTCTGAATTGATTTGGATCATGAAGACTAACTTCAGTGGAGCAATCCATTGATGAACCATAATTTGATGGCACTACTAGAAGGTAGTAGAGGGCCGGGGAGATAGCTCAGTGGAATAAATGCTTGCCTGGCAAGCGCAGGGTACTGAGTTTAATTCCCAGTACCACAAAAAAAAAAAAAAAAAAAAAAAAAAAAAGAAGAAGAAGAAGAAGAAGAAGGTAGTAAAAACTTAAATGGGGCTTAAAAGGAATTGGGTCACTGGGACATGATCTTGGGGACGGTATCTTGTCTCCAGCCTCTTCCTCCCTGTCTATTCCTTGCATTCTTTGCTTCCTAGATGACAGGAAGTTTCTGCCTTCAGGCTAGCCAGCCAAAGACTTAAAACTCTGAAAGCATGATGTAAAATATACCTTTTATTTTCAAGCTGTTTTTGTCAGGTATTTTGTTCCAGGAACAGAATGTGACTAGAATAGCACATCATCATTTCTTGAGAAACTCTCCTGATTCTCCTACTGTTTCAGTGGCTTCCTGTCCAGGTCTTTGTTCACTGGACTGCCCAGGCTCAAGCCTCAGGCCTCTTCAGTTGTCCCCTTCATGTCCTCAGTGACAGCCAGGTGATTCCTCAACTCAAGTCTCTGTGTCATCCATTTCATGACTCCTAAACTGTGCACTTCCACTCAGGGCCTCTGCCTGGAACTCCAGACTAGAGTTGTTCAAATCCAAGCTCCCTATCTTCCTCCGACCTGCTCATGCCAGTTTCCCTATAATAGTTGATACCTGCTCCATCCATCCTTCTGCCAGCAATCCTTGGTGTCACCTTCTTTGTCTCTTGGGACCTCGGATCATCCTTGACCTCTCATGCATACTCCGCCTCCTCCCATCACTTCCATTATTCCATCCAAGCTATGAGTACTTTCTCTGGTTCATGGTCACACCCTTGCCTATTCTTCCTCTCCTAGCCAAGCCCTACAGGTACTCCTACACACATTCCTACGGACTCATACCTCATCTCCAGAGGGATGCTTTGCAGGAAGCCTTCTGCCAAACCCCCTTCTCCCATCTCACTACACAGCCTTTCATGAGTTAACCCCCCCAGGCTCCACTCCACTTCCTTGACCCCCTTATTCATACATTTGCCCCTTGCTGTTCCTGAACCCCAGGACCTCTGTTCACTGTTCCTTCTGCCAGGAATGCTCTTCCTCCCAGAGCCTGGGGCCAGACTGCCTCACCTTTGCTGCCTCTCTGCTTGCTATAGTTTGGATAAGTGTCCCTAACATCCCATGTGCTAAAGGCTAAGTCCATAGCTTAGTGCTTTGGGAGGCAGTGGAGACAGATGTTCAGAGGTGGAGCCTAGTGAGAGGTCTCTGTGTCACTGGGGGTCCTCAAAGGGGCTAATGTGACCCCAGTCCCTTCCTTTTTCTCTCTTTTGCCTCCTGAGGAGCATCTTTGACCACCAAGTGCTTCCTGCCATAATGTGCTGCCTCACCACAGGCCCAAGCCAAGGACTGAAACCTCTCAAACTGTAAACCAAAATAAACCTTCCTGGGCAGCAGAGGTAGCTCAGCAGTACAAGTGCCTGCCTGGCCAGTGCAAGATCCTGAGTTTGATTCCCGGCCCCCTGAAAAAAATAAAATAATCCTTTTCTATTTATAAGTTCATTATCTCAGGTATTATTACAATGACAGACAGCTAATTAATGCATGACTGAAATGTCACCTTCTCTCCAGGGCCTCCGTGGCTGTCCTGTTGAGCACAGCAAACTTACTCCTCTTCTATTTCTTGCTCTAACTAAGTGTCCTTTCTGTCCAGTCTCGCCCCAGGCCAGGGCCCTACTACGCTCTCCCCGCCCTCTTGTCCTGTCTTCTCATTCTTATGTATCTTCCCATTGTGCCTCTCCTACACGAGACTGCTGGGAGTTTGGGAGGATGAAGAGGTCTGCTCTGCCCCCTTCTGGCTGCCACTTTAGGTGGAGTGAAAGTCACCTGTGATCATCCCGGCAGTGAGGTAGAACTGGCTGAGGGAGTAGCAGAAAGAGCTGGCCACCATGCCCAGGCTGGCCAGCAGGCCTCCTATCATCATCGTCACTCGGCAGCCGTAGCGTTGCACCAGGATGCTGCACAGGGGTCCTGTGGGAAGCAGGCAGTCAGTAGGCAGCAGACACTGAGGGCGCTGAGGTGGGTGGGGGAGGGGCCCAGCCAGGGCTAGCCCAGGGCTCAAAGGGCGTGAGAGCCGCAGCCTGCCAGCCTGGATTCGGGTGTCCATGCTGCCCCACACTGGCCATGTGACCTCAGCAAGGCTTCATCCCTCTCTGTGCCTCAGTTTCTTCACCTACAGAGTGAGGGTTCAGACTGAGCCATGTTGATTCCAATAAGGATCCCAGAGGGACAGACAAGGGCCCCACTGCCTGAGGCCCCACAGCCAGTTCCACAATTTGTGCGTGACCCACATGGACACCTCTTGCTTGCAGTCTGTCACAGAGGGAGTGTCCCAGCACATCTAAATCCCAGTGAACACTTCCAGCCTATAATCTTTTAGAAGACTGACCATCGCCCTCCATCTTGGTACAACTGGGTTAAAGCCCTGGACCATCCTGAACCTTCTTACTCTGCCCCATGGAGTGTTCTAGAGAAAAACCAAGCCAGGTAGCTGCTTCCCTTTCTCTTCACTAAAGCTACCACCCAAATCCACATGAGGGCTGGGGGTGGAGCTTGGGTATAATATGAACCTACTGTGTTCAGGGTTCCAGGTTCAGTCTCCACCAAAGCCCCTTCAGAGTCCACAGATCCACAACTAGCTGTTTGCTCCTTGTGTAGAGAGACCTGACCTCCTCCATCCTAGCTGTTTCCTTACCAGTGCCCACCCTGACCCCTGGAAACCATCCAGCCCAACCAGCTTGCTTGGTCACATTCCCCCAGTGGCCTGTCCCCAAGCATGCACGATGGAACTTCTCCAAGTGAGTCTCCCCAAGTGCAGCCAGAGGGTCCGAGAGAGTGTGGGTGTGTCTGTGCCCACATGGCTGTTGGTGGTGACAGTGAGCTGGCAGCCCATCCTGAGAGAAGATCAGGTGGACACTGCTGTCTGTGCTGATGCAGGAGAGAGGAAGCTTTGGAGAGAATCTGACTCCTGCCCCACACGCCTTCCCCACCTGAGTCTGGCCGGATTCAGGAAAGGTGATACTGGGAAAAGCCCTGAGTCAGGGAGTTGGGCTGGGGCAGGGGTGGGGCCCTGGAGCAAGTGCTCCCTTGCAGGGCAGGGTGCACAGGGTGGGTGCTGCTTTTCCATAGAACCCCTCAGCAGCCCCGGGCTGGCCTTGCCCTTTGTGTATTTTTCACTTTCCTCTCCTCTGAAATATTTGCCTATTGGGGTAGGACTTATGACACATTCATGTTGAAAATTTCAGTACTCTGAATGAACATGTCCATGTGTGAGCCACAGACACAGGCAGGATTCTGCATTCACACATGTGGGTGTCTGGCTCCCAGCCACTTCCTGGCTCCTCTCTGCTGTGTGAGAAAGGGCCTGCTGAGGGCCCCACTGCCTACCCCAACCTTGAAGGTCAAGAAGCCAAATAGTCTAGGCCAGACCTGGCTTTTCCTTTAGCTCTGAGTTCAAGTTTTGAGCAGCAAATCCAAGGGTCATCTGAGGTTGGCAGTTTCCCTTTCTTCCCTCCCAGTGTCAGGGAATGACCTGGAATAACAAGCAGGCTGCTAGTGCCGGTTAGGGCAGAGAGGTAACCAGGCAGTGAGGGTCAGTTTAGGGCAGACAGGTACATGAGAGAGCCTGAGGGTGGTCAGAGCTGCTCTGGTTAATAAGTGGGGTCTCCTTGGAAGGCTGGGGTCAGGGTGAGTCACATTCCTGGAGTGGCCAATGAGGCAGGGGACCTTGTAGGTGGGGATGGGGGGTAACAGGCTGCCTTCCCTCTCCAGTTCCAGCCCTGGCAAGCTCCCTCTGTAGGGAGCCCAGGGAGAGATGGGGTTCTTGTTCTACCTCCACTCATTCTTAGAGTCTCCCCTGATCCCCTTTTCCATCCCAAAATCCAATGAGGGCCTCTAAAATATGAATAATTCATAGTGCCACAGATCATAGATTGATTCCCCCCGCACCAGCGGAACCAGGGATTGAACTCACTTGACAGGCCCTTGCACTTGACAGGCAAATGCTTATTCTACTGAGCTAGCTCCCCTACCCCTATAGACTGATTTTTAATTTCTCTCTCTCTCTCTCTCTCTCTCTCTCTCTCTCTCTCTCTCTCTCTCTCTCTCCCTCTCTCTGATTGAACCCAGGGTCTTTGCACTGCTACATAGTTTTTGTTTTCCAAATTTTGAGACAATTTTTCCCTAAGTTGCTAACTTGCTCAGGCTGGGCTTGACCTTGTAGTCTTCCTGCCTCAGCCTCTCAGAGTGCTGTGCTGGAACTACAGGTGTGTGCACCATGACCAGCTATGCCATAGATTTCTTCACTGCCAGCACCTCCAGAACCCATGTGGTCTTCCCTATCACTCCAGGTGGGAGCTGAGCAGGGTGCAGGTTGGAGGAAGAAAGTGGGTTTCAAGAAATTGCCCAGCAGGAAAGCGGTAGAGCCTGGCTCTGCTGGCCCCCAAACTGGCTTCTCCCACTCTGTGCATCTAGGGTCTGGACCCATCCTCCGGTGCCACTGAGAGGCTGCTCTAGAACTGTACCTGTCTGTGCACCTCACGTGTCTCCCCATCTCCTTGTCCCCAGCCCAGCCTCCTGGGTGCACAACTCATTCCAGCTGGATGCCAGCCATAGGGGCTGATGCTGCTAGAATCACATCAGGTAATCTTAGAAAGGTACCCCATAGGCAAAGCCTATGGCTGTGAGAGACCCAGAAGACCAGGGGAGCTGTGGCTTCCTCCCACGTCCTAGGGCCTTTTTTATCCCTCCCTCCCCTGCTCCCCAGGCTGCTCACCCCCGGCTTGGAGCATGGCCCCCAGGATGGAGGGGAACCAGGAGATTTCGCTGTTGTTGGCTTGGAAGTCGCGTTGCAAATCAGCAAAGAAGATGCCAATGCAGGCAGGGAAGCTTGCTGTGAGGGCTTGGGTTACCAGGGAGGCCAGAAGTACCATCCAGGACCAGCTGCCATCCGCATGCTCCAGGGCCAAGGACATCCTCTGCTACCAGTGCCACCACTTGTCACTTAGTCACCTGTGCCTAGGGAGGGAATACAATGGACCCTGGAACTTGGTGGGCTGTCAGCCCCCCTTTGGTCCACCTGCCACCTCCTCTGCGTGGCCAAAACTGTCTCTTCCTCATGCCCCAGCACAGGTATCACAGAAGGGCACCACTTCCTGGGAGGTGGCCAGAGACCCATGCTTTGGCCTTGAGTTTCCTTTTACCCACTTCCCAATGACAGCCTGGCAGGAGGTGAGAGGAGAGGCAATGGGTGGGGCAAGCAATGGCCAATGACACTGGGCAGGGGAATGGAATTCTTTCCTGTAGTTACAACACCTGGCAGTCAGCCGGGGGAGCCTCCTGGATTTCTCATTAACTGCTTAGAGAATGGTGCAGACTTCTGGAGTTCATGAAGTCTCAATGTCACCAAAGGCACCCATGGATATGTTTCTAAACATTTATGGCCTGGCTTTCTGAATACCAATACAGACATTTGCAGTGTCACATGACCAGCCCAAGTTTACTGTCAGCATTGTTGCAAAGGTGAACGGGCCATCGGGCATTGACTGCCACCAAGGAGTTCACAGACATCAGCTTAACACCTGACCCACAGCTTTAAAGATAAGGCCCGAGAGTCATACAAAGGCCCTTTGAAATCACCCTACAACATTCCTTCCCCAAGAAGTTCAAGAGTCAAGTTCCACAATCATGCTGACTAACTGTCACTTGCATAGGCTTCTCCAAGCACCTGGAGCCCACTCAGGCAGAGCCCCGCTGGGGCACCCAGGTACAGATATACTACAGTGACACACATGTGCACAAATGCACATCAAGGCACGGTTACTGGGGCCGCAGAGATGGCTCAGTGGAGTAAGTGCTTCCCTGGTAAGCTCAAGGGCCTGAGTTCAATCCCTGGTTCCGCCAAAAAAAAAAAAAAAAAAAAAAAAAAAGAGACACAGTTACACAGAACCAGAAAAGTCTGGAGACACAGGTACACGTAGACACATACCTCACAAACAGAGACATGCACAGAGGAACATGGTCACACACACACACACACACACACACACACACAGACAGTCACAGAAGTAAACACTTGAGTTGCAGACACATTCACATGTACGCAGATTTACACTTACATAAACACCTGCAAGCAAGCTTGGAGACCACAGGCTCCATGGTCACACACATGCACACATAGTCACACCCACACACCCATGGACCCTTCGCATCTTTGGCTCTGGAAGGTACAGCCTGGCCTACCTCAAAGCAGCGCCACCACCCATACCACGCCCCCTCCTCATAGAAGCCTCTGTAGTTCCAAGGTCTCCATCCCAAATTCAGAGCCTTGTCCAATCCCCTCCAGTCCCGGCTCACCTTTCCCACCCTGGCCCCTCCAACCCCTCTAACCTCAACCACGCTCAGACTCCAGGCTGTGGCAGGCAGGGAGCGGGAGTGCTAGGCTTAGCAGGAAGAAGAGGCTTCATGCTTCTGGTAGATTCTGTGGATCTTCCTGGGGTTCGGACTAAACAACAGGGCTTGGGGCTGGTGAGATGGCTCAGTGGTCTAAAGCACCTACTTAGAACAAGCTAAGCTAAGCAAAGCACAGGGACTTTGGTTCAATCCCCCAGCACCACATGCCAGCCAGCCCCGCCCCCTGGTGGGCTGAGCTGGCCACACACACACACACAAAATAAATAAATAAAAATAAATAAATTTAAAAAAAAATAAAAAAAAATAAACAACAGGGCTTATAGGAACCCTAGCTGGTGGAGCCTGTTGCCTTTACTGAGGTAGAGGCCATTCCCTCAGCAAACAGGAGGGTCACAGGTACTGTGGGATCTTCCTAGTGCTGCCACAATGTCCTGTTCCCACAGCCTGCTCCATGGCCTGGCCTCTTCCCAGAGCCTCATCTCCTTAGCCTCCATACCTGCTACTTTCCCAAGCTCTACCAGCCTCCCTGGCTTTCTCCTGCCCTTCCTGCTCTCTTCTGCTTACTGACCTGCTCCGGTTCCTTCTTCTTCTTTGTCTTGTCCTCTCAGGGCAGACGCATGATACTGCCTTTATCAACAACCACTTTCTTGGGAAGTCTTTTTAGGGGACTTTACCCAGGCTCCTGTAACCTTTACTCTGTACCTCATCTTCCTTGAACCTCTCAGTGGGTGGAGCTAGCTCTTCCCAGCATCCCTCTCTCCAGGCCTCAGGAGGTCCTTGGGTACCTGGCCACAGCTGAGGGACAATCAGAGCTGGAAACCCTTTGTACCTTAGCTATCTCTACACCCAGGGAGCCCTGCACCTGTGCTCTAGAGACCCCAGCTTCACTCTGGGGCCCCAGTCCTCCACTATGAATTCAACTTTCCATGAAGGGGCAGCTGCCCCCACCCCTCCAATAGCACACATAGATAGCATTTATGTCCATTTGGTCCTACAGCTTCCTTCCTCAGCCAGCTGGTCCCCCCTGAAGACAATGGCTGCTGTGCTCCTGAAATGCTTAGCCAGTGAGAAGTCCAGGTGGTCATCCACTGCAGCCCCGTGTGGTGGCACACACCTGTAAGCTCAGTACTTGGGAGGCTGAGGTAGGAGGATCACCACAAGTTCAAGGCCAGCCTGAGCTACCTAACAAGTTCGAGACCAGCCTCAACTACATATAAAGAACTTGGGGCTGGCAAGATAGCTCAGCGGTCGAAAATGCCTGCTTAGGCAAGCTTAGGCAGGTTTAGGGGACCACAGTTCGATCCCCAGCACCACAGGCCATGCCAGCCCCACCTTCAGAGTGGGCTGAGCTGACCAAAAAAA